GTGACTTTACCGAAAGAACCAAGAAAACAAAACCAATCTTTGGTTATCGCATCGTATGATCAGCGGTGGCCTGGCGCGTTTTCACTTTTATTTTTTCACCCACCCCCCCCGATTTCTTAAAGAAGCAAGTCGGCATTGGGACGCTTCACGCATCCCGAGTCGGGGGGGGGGGATGGCGTGGGGGGCTGGGGGTGGGACGAGGGCCACAGGGAGAGAGGGCAAAGCGTCGCGTGCCGTCACGACCCTGGCCGGGAGTGGTGGGGCGTGACCGGCGTCGCGTGCACGGGGAGCGCGGTGCTCATTATCACCGCCGGTGATCCGTCTCACGCTGCCCCCCCACTCCTCCTCCTCCTCTACCGCCTCGCGCTCCTCTCGTTTGTCGTCCTCGTTGTTGTTGTTATTTGCGATTACTGTTATCCCTCGTCGTAATGGAGTGATGGTTAGCAGCGCAATCCAGGGGTCGGCCTGTTCGATTCAGTCGCCCGGTGTGAACGGTCGAGGCGATTTCGATTTAAAGCTTTCGTGACTGCAGGGATTCATCTTCTTGGTTCTTTCGGTAAAGTCACGTAGAAGGGAAATAATAACATAATAAAAAATAAAACATAATAAAACAATTCTCACGACGTTTTCGGCCACAACGCAAGCAGCCATTCAGACGCTGTCTTCCCGACAGACCTGTTCTTCACCTGAGGACGGCTGCTTGCGTTGTGGCCGAAACGTCGTGAGAATTGTATTTTATTATGTTTTATATTTATTATTTTATTATTTCCCTTCTACGTAACTTTACCGAAAGAACCAAGAAGATGGTCGAGGCGATGGCGCGGGTTTCTTAAAATCGCCGCTACGCACCGCCTCTGTCGACCGTGCAGGACGAACAGGTTGGGCCCACGGTGAGTTTGCACGGCTGGTCACCTGTGGTGGGCTAGACTCGTGAGAACTCTCCCACCCCTTCCAAGACGCCTTGGCCAGCGTGCAAATCTCGGTTACACCGTGTGAACATTTGATGGCGAGGGAGCTCCGTTGCGACATTTGACCGTGGGCCAAAAATAAAAAAAAGACTTTGCCGATGAAGATTTCACCCCACATCATAGGACGAGCTGGTACTGGTCTGTTCCTTCATACGCATGGATTGTTGTTGTTGTTTGTTTGTTATCGGGCATCGTCCACGTTCCTGCTACGAGGGGCTGGTGGGTGGGCCGGGTCTCTTCACAGTTGACTTGTGACGAAGCGACTTTATCCCGAGCGGAGTATCACGTCGACCGGAAGGATTTCATCCGCTCGTGAATGGACATTGGCCAACGGTGCCAATGCGGGCGGCAGTAGGCAAACAGGAGGAGTAACTCGGAGAGAAAGGAAGTAACATTTGTAAAAAAAAAAAAGAATCTTGACACTCGCCGAGGAGGATTTCTACCCGAGTGAACAAAGGAGGGTATTATTATTTTTATATATGACAGCGTTTCATATCAGCCAAAGACATGGCCTTGAGCAAATTACCAAACACGCCCCTGCATCATTTCATTGCTGTGTGTCTGTCTGTGTGTGTGCGCGCGCTCGCCGCTGCTGCCGCTGCTACAAGTCGAGGGGGGAGGAGGGTGGTGGTGGGGTCGGTTATTTTTCACACACACACACACATCTCTAAATATATAAATAACACTCTCTCTTAATTCTCGCGCGGAATTAATTCGGCTCGCCGAGGAAGGGAGAGTTTTGCACGGCAGCGGCAGGAGGATGGATGGAGGGGGGAGGGGTGTTTACCGAGCGGGCGGACGAGGACTTTGCAACTTGGCGGCGGCGTTAATCGCTCGGCGCGTGGCTCGCTCACGTTCGGCAGCCTGTTTGTTGCTCGCGTTTTACGCGTCAGGGTTTTTTCGTTCTTTTACACACACACGTTGTGTATATGCAGTGGTGATACGCGCTGGCAGGAGGGATCGTGAGGCAGCGCGTGGTGATTGGTTACATCGAGTGGGTGCTCACATCGCGGTCCGCATAGGCTCCGCCCCCTCGGGAGCGGAGGGCTATGTAAGGCGATGCGCGCTGGCACTCGGAGAGTTGGTAACCAGTGAAGACAGAAGACGGAGGAAGAGATAGGCCCTGGGACCCCTAGCCCCGCTGCCCTTGTAAGGGCCGGGGTTCTGAGAGGCTCAGAGGCGAGGCCTTGGGATTCACGGTCCGACGCCCTTGTAAGGGCTCGGGCTGTGTAGCCTAGTGGTCGAGACCCGTAGTCTGACAAGAGGGGTCTGATAGCTCCCCATAGGGAGAGTGTAGCCGGAGAGCCTGAGTCGAGGCAGAGATAGGTGCGCGTACCCTACGGGAGAGACTGAGTACGTGGCCGAGTCAGGCACGTGTGACATAGGTGTTATCTCGGTTGGGACTGTTACGTGTGCAACCGCTGTGAATAAAGAGTGCTGCCCCGTCAACTCGTCTCCCGCCATTATTGAAGATATTACATATATATGGGTGTATGCGGGAGGAGGGGGGGGTTTTTCAAAAAAATGTGAACGCTTCTGAGAATTCGCAACTATAAACACAATAAATGTCGTGCCTCGGGGCTCTGGAGACCACCTGGAGAAGATTCCAGGCCACGTGTTGACAATGATGGCGAATAAGTAGAGACCCTTTGACTTTTTGAAGCTATTGACATTACATTTCTCTTCTTGGTTCTTTCGGTAAAGTCACGTAGAATGGAAATAATAAAATAATAAAAACATAATAAAATAATTCTCACGACGTTTCGGCCACAACGCAAGCAGCCGTCCTCAGGTGGAGAGCAGGTCTGTCGAGTAGACTCTGTCTATTATTATTTCATTATTTCCATTCTACGTGACTTTACCGAAAGAACCAAGAAGATGAATCCCTGCAGTCACGAAAGCTTTAAATCGAGACATTACATTTGTTATCATGTTACAGTGTATTATTATCCGTTACTTTTTAAATCCTTTATATTAAGTTCACTTGCTTGCTTGCACGCTTACGACCGTGCAAATCTTTAGGTCGTTTTTTAACCCACTTCCCGTGATCCAATCGAGCTGACATTTTGCACACAGACTCGTTGTGCGTGACAATTTATTTTCGTGAATTTTTTTTTCCAAAATTTAACACTTTTTAGGAAAAAATAAATTATATTTAATTACCAATTGCTTAATGGTGGCAGGCAATTATCTGACCCATAGGTGGCAGCCATCTCAAGCCAGTGGATGAGAGGACTCTAGCCGCCACGCATATAAAGGATTTATAGTGAAAAACTTTGTTTTTACGGGTTAATTTTTTTCCATTAAAAACGAAAGTCCCACGTGAGTGTTAGAATTTTTTTGAAGCGCCCTGTATAAGAGAAAGGAAAACATCCTTTGAATATTCCGTTTGGAGTCGGCGTTAAGTGCTCGCCGCGCCTCGTAAATATGATGTATGTCGGCTTCTGCTTGGGCGCTGAGCGTGTGTGTTTTGTTTCAGCAGCAACCTCGCGACGGTGAGAATCTCACGTTTGTCATCGTTCCTCATTCAGCGATCGCCCGGTGAGAGAGCGGGGAAGGTGACGACTCGGAGCATCGCTCGCGCGCGGAGAAATCGTCGAGTGAGCGTGTGTCGGTGGAGCAGGTTGCGCTGCGGTCGGCGGCCCGAGTTCGAATCCTGCTCACGGCCACCAAAGGCGGCAAATGCTTTATCCGGTTCTGGGCCTCTCCGAAGTTAACTCAGCCCTAATTGAGCAGCTGGTGCGATGTGTGAACATCGCCACTGGGGAGACAAAGGTGGCCGAGCGTGATGCTGGGCCATCACCCCCTTTGTGTCTTCATTGATGCTCGCTGACGGCACCTTGCCCCAACAGTATGCTGGAGGCTACACGGGGGTACTTTTTATTTGTCTCTATGTGAGACAGTCCGTAGTAGAGCAAGTAGGTTGCTGCCAAAAGTAGGTGTGATATTTGCCATCGAATAATCATCAGCTTGCCAACATCGATGGCTGGCGGCAATGCTGATGATCATGTCAGTGCTGCTGCCGGTGATAGTGATGCCAATGATAGTTTTGCTGCTGCGGCAGCTAACATGGTGACACAGATGCTGATAATGTCAGTGCCGCTGATGCTGCTGCTACTGCTGCTGATTGCGATATGCCGCGCACCGTAAACGGATCGACACGCAAGGTCCCTTCACGCTCCTCGTGGAGCTGCGAGCCAAGAGAGGACATGTGTCGGCATAGAACCGGGCATGTGACCCCTGACCTTCAAACCCTGACCTCGATCGCCATTGACCGTGTGACCTCTGACCATCGGCGTAGCGTGCTTGGCTTGGACGCTGTCGCAAGGAAGGAAGTGGGGCCCTCTCTCCCCTCCCTCTTCATAGCGCGGCAACTAACCGCGTCCATGCTCGCCCGTGTGGACACCCTTGGGGCGTTTTGTTTCCCGACCGCATCCGCTTGACCGTTGGGTCGTTGACCACCCGCACCCCTCCACTCTCCCTCTTCCTCGTCAAACTCCCACCACCCCGACCCCCCCACCCCCACACACCTCACCACACCCCACCACCCCACCCCCCTCACCCCCACCTCCACCACCCATACCCCCCCACCTCCACCCCACCCACCTCCCCCCACCACCCCCTCCACCTCTCCACCCTCCACCACCCCCCAACCTTCACCCCCCCACCTCCACCCCTCTCACCCCCACCCCTCTCACCTCCACCACCCATACCCCCCCACCTCCACCCCACCCACCTCCCCCCCCACCACCCCCCCCCACCCTCCACCACCCCCACCCCCCCAGGTCTCCTCTCAACGACCGCTCCTCGGCCACGGAGCCGCGGGGGGCTGGGTGGGTGTGAGGGGGGCTGGGGGTTCTTTAGCCGGCAGCGACGTCGATTTCACTGCTGCGAGTGGCGCTGGGGGGCTCGCCTCGAGCCTCGGAGTCCAAAGCCGCGGGGTGGGAAACCTGGCCCTCGCCGAAGGGGAGGTGGGAGCGGCGGTGGTGGAGGGGGGGAAGGGGGGGAGGGGTCCCGCACTTTGTCTCTGACCTTGTCAGCTGACCCCGAGGCGATGATCGACCCGTCCGAGCTGAGGTCGACGGCGAAGACGGCGCGTGAGTGTCCGAGCAGCGAGTGGCGCAGGCGGCAGTGGCGGCCGCTCCACACCTTCACCTGCAAGCGGTCACACGCGGCGGTCACAAGCAAAGACAAAGATCCCCCGGGTAACCTTAACAAGTGCCGTTAGCGAGCACCTATCAAAGTAAATTATTTGTATTTTAACCAGGTAAGGCCCATTGAGCTCTATAGCTTCTTCTTTTTTTACAGAAGTGGCCCGGCTATCACGAACTATAGCCCAACAAGGTGGTTCATCACGTGGAAATGTATCGCGGCCAAATTCTCTAAACGCGTGTTGTTGATTATTCTAAATGTGGAGGGGGAAACCCTGAAGGATCCGGAGAAAAATCTACGTGACCACGAGGGGAACACGGAAAGTCCAATATACAGCAGCAGGCGTCAGGGTCACGGGATCGAACCCACGACCTCCTGCATACCAGGCGAGGTAGTTAACATCTCGCCACCGTGGCGCCCTATGAAGGCTTGAACGGGGCACGAGGGGGAGGTGTGGAAAGCACCTCGCCCCGGCCGCCTTTGTCTCCCCGGTGGTGAAGTGTATGCACCGCATCAGGGTACTCATGTTGAACTTCTTTCGCACCATACGTAGCCAACCATGCCCATCGGAGGTACAGGGGAAAAACAACAAACTAAACACAAAAAGTAGTTTTAAAAAAATGAGTTTTCAATCTCGATTATTGAAGAGTGCATAGCTCCAATGGCTGCCTAATATCGGAAGGAAGAGCGTTCCAGACGGCCGCAGAAGCGCATCTGAAAGAGCGCGATACGGTGACCGTCTTTGTTCGGTGGTGAGCCAAAAGCCGCTGCAAGGAAGTGACTTTTACCGTGAGCAGGAATCGAACCCAGCTCGCAGGGATCGTAGCGCAGAGCGCTAACCACTGCGCCACCGCTCCACCCACGCACACGTGGGAGCGAGTACGCTCGCACACACGCAAAGTTACATAACAAGGATCGATAACGCACTCACACACACATCCACGTGCTCCATCTGCGCGCACGCACCGACACACACGCACGCACACACACGCACGCACACGCACGCACGGACACACACACGCACGCACGGACACACACACGCACGCACACACGCGCTCGCTTTTCTCTCCCTCATCACCACCCACCCACATCTGTTCTCTCCCCCTCCCTTCCGCCACCACCACCACCACCACGCCTCCCACCATTACCCTCATCCACCACCTCCATCTCACATCCACCACCACCCCCCTCCCTATCTCCCCGCAAGGCACGGACACCGGCAGCTTCGTTCAATATCCCATTTAAGTCCCGGTAGAAATTAAAGCCCTATCAGACGTAATTTAAACCTTCACTTAACAAGGCCGGCTTTCCGTCAGCCCCCTCGTAAAACATTTTTTTTTATCACCGCCGGAACGAAAAAAATCGCCTCTCTCGGCCCCGAGCTGCGCGCCGCGGCGCTCTCCGTCGCCGCGACGTTCGGCTCCGGCGGTCACGGGAGCGACGTCCGACCGACCGACCGACCGACGGTTCTCTCCAGAGTGCCGGGAGCATCTTGGGCGAAGTGAATCTTTAAATTTTCGCTCAGCGCTGGGAGCTTCCTCCGGTGCCCTTGCCGGTGCGATTGCATTCGCCCTGTCCCGACCGTCTGGCGGGTACCGCTATGAAGTCGCCGTGGATTTACTCTGCAGCTTCACTTCCTGATGAAGAAGCTCCCGGCCCGTGGGGGCGGGCGGGCGGGCGGGCAGGGGGAGGGGCGAAACGTCGGACATCGCACGGAACGACGCAGAAAGAGGGGCCGAAGGGCGACGGCCGCCGCCGAACGGCCACGTCTTGAGCCGTCCACGCTCACTCGCGCCTATCACGCCGCTCCGCACCACTCCAGATCCTCACCCCACGCCCGCAGCAGCAGCAGCAGCGGCAGCAGCAGCAGCGGCAGCGGCGGCAGCAGCGGCGGCAGCAGCAGCAGCGGCGGCAGCAGCGGCGGCAGTGCCCCCCCCCCTCCCCCCACCAGCCCCTTCTTCCCACCGACCGCCAACCCCTGGCGCTGAGAGCGAAGGGAAGCGGTCGATGCGAGGAAATCGATGGGGGTGGAGGCAGACGTCGAAACTCGATCCAGCATCAGGCACCAAGAGGGGAAAGGATAACCAATAAAGCCGGGGGGCGGGGGGATGGGGGTGGGGGGGCGGGGGAGGGATGCGAGGGGGGGGGCAGTGGGTCAGGCTAGACGGCGCTTAGTCCACCACGGCTTTCAATCCTGCCTTATCGGTCTTGCCGCAGGGCTCCCGGCATCCTCCCCCCCCCCCCCGACTCCTCCGGCACAATTCCAGAGACCTCCCCCCCGAAATAGCAGCAGACACGGAGATCTCCTTTCACTGCTGTCCACTACCCCCCCCCCCCCAACTGCTGTTAGATGAGTCCAAATCACCCGTCGAGTTAAAGCGACGGAGCGGTCAATAGGCGGTGCGATTGCCGCGGCGGCCTCGTGTTGGCCGTCATTCCCGGCGAGGTTTCGAACACTTCTCCGGCGAAAGTTGAGAGCGATAATAATGAACTCTGTCTGTAATGGAGAGGGGATGGGATCGGTGGTGGGGGTGGGGGTGGTGGTGGGAGTGTGGGGGGGGGGGTAGCAGGAGACAGTGGGCAGAACTGCTCGGAAAATACAAAACCGGCGCTGAAAATATTTCAGCTGGCCAAGGCGGCGATGGGGATGAAACACCGAGGCTTGACGCCATCCGCCGCGCGGCTTGTGAACGTCGCCGTCGATTGATTCGACCGCGTCCGTTGCTCGTGCAGCGCTTTTTATTCATTCCTTTCGGTCGTCTCGAACGACGCGACCAGGAGGCCGCGGTGTTCGCCACGCGAGTGAGACGATGAAAGCGCAAGACTTGGCACTATTTGACTGTGGTCAGTGAAGGTACTGTCCGATTGGGGGGGGGGGTGGGTGCTAAGCAGAAATAACCTTTCCCCCCCGACCGCCCCCTCCATTCAAGTTCCAAAATACCAGCGAGATGACGAAACCGACGTAAAGACTCGAGGTGCGGACGTGGGATGTGCGTGCGGCAGGGTGAGATCGGAACTTTGCACCGCGGGAGCCCGTGGCGGTGGCTTGGGATCGGCCTTCATCCGGCAGCCGATGATGCCGACGGTGACGGTGAGAGACGGGAAATGCGGACGCAGTTGCAATGAGACGACAGAAGAGAGAGAGAGGCGCACGGCAAGACGGGAGATGACAGAAAGTCGGTGGCTTTCCGTGTTACTTTTCTCATTACCGTTTTGATTTGAGCTCATCAATCTACGCACCCCGATTACATTTTTTTCGGGGGTCGTGTGGAGAGGAGGGGAGGCTGCGAGTCTATGTAAGTTGAACTTCTTTCGCACCGTACGAAGCCAACGGTGCTAATTGGTGGTGCGAAACCCGGGGTGGGTTCCTCTTGAGCTGCTTGGGTCCCTGAGCTTCTGACCTTGTGGTTCGCTTAGCGCAGCGGTCGGGAACCTATGGCTCGCGAGCCATATATGGCTCTTCCAGTGACGGCATATGGCTCCCAGACAATTTTGAGTTGAAAAAAAAAATCAGTTTGGAACTGATTTTAAAATACTTGTGATATTGCTTAATAATACTGTGTCATTTTAAAGTAAACAGAAATTAGTTTTGAAGATAAATTTCACGGGTCACGCCTGCATGAAGCTCAACCTCACCACGTACGAACCAGACTACAAGGTCATCAGCAAAACCATGCAGCACCAGAAGTCGCATTAAAAGTAAGACAAATTTAATTTATTATACGTTAAAAATACTATATGGCTCTCAATGAAATATATTTAGAAATATTTGGCTTTTATGGCTCTCCCAGTCAAAAAGGTTCCCGACCCCTGGCTTAGCGCCTGCCTGGCATCGCCACCGGTGGCCGGTTATCGCTGCGGACGCTTTCCGGACGAGGTGCCGCCGTGCCGCTCGTCCTAGCGCCTAACGAGGCGCAAAATATTTTTTTAAAAACCTCGCCCGGACAGACGAGGCGGTGAGACGCGGCCGTGCAGAGGCTGACGCCCCGCGTCACCACACCCATACACCAACGTCAAGGGTCTCACTGCCACCCATATAATGCACCGTTACTTCCTCTCTCTCTCTTTAATTTTTTCCACGCTATTGGAATCGATGCAGGCGGCGGTCTCGCTTACTGCGAGCGGCACCGGAACCTGGGTGCCTTCTCCTCCTCCATCCTCCCTCCACCTGCTTCCCCCCCTCTTCCCTCCTCCCCCTCCCTCCTTCTGCTTCCTCTTCCATCCTGCTCATCCTCCCTCATCCTCCTTCCTCCTCCTTCCTCCCTCTTTCTCTGCCTCCTCTTCATCATCACTCCCCCCCTCTTCCTCTCTCCTTCCTCCCCCTTCTTCCCTCTTCCTCCCCCTGCTCTTCCTCCTCCCTCCCCCCTCTTCCCTCCTCCTCCTCCTCCCCAATAGTTACACGAGTCTAACTCAGTGTGTCACGCCACTCAAATAAGCGCGGGCCAGTAATCACTGCTGTTCGATGGCCGTCAGACAATTGTGTACAATTACAATTAAAAGATAAAGTTGCGGCACTGGAATTGCCTGGCAGAAGGGCTGTAAATGTACAAAATAGAATCGTGCGATCGAGCTCAGGGGTCACAGCGTGGAGCCGGCACCGGCAGCCCGTGATTGCGACACCAGCTTCCCGCGTGTCGACAGGCGACGGCATCGCTCTGGGGTTGTTGGAACTCAGAAGTAGTTGTAATAATACTAATAGGGGTTTTCCCCCTTTTTTGCTGGCAACAAAACTGAAACCTTTTTACGAGGATTAATGTCTGCATTAACCACAATACCTGATGTAGATGCTCACCCCGAGCCCTCGTTACTTTGATAGTGGCATTGTCTTTGAGCTGTACGCCTTTTGGCGTCCTCTGGTCGAGCACCAATTGGGTCGAGGATCAAAAGAAAGCCGTCTCTTGGTGTGGACCAATCAGTTTCAAGGACAATGCATTATATATTATCATCGCGTGTTTTTGTTTGCATTTGACTGCAGGTATTGTGGTTAATGCAGGCATGAATCCTTGTAAAAAGGTTTCAGTTTTGTTGCCAGCAAAAAAGGGGGAAAACCATATTATTATAATTTGGTACTGGCAAAGGAGGTCCAATGATGTCAGAAGTAGTTGTGTGATATCTCGTTCCACGGACCACTGCCCAACTAAACGCTGGGTGCTGCACGACCTTACAAGGGTTCCAAATGGACACGCTTATCCCTGATGATGCCTCACGCACGACTGGAATAAAATATTTAAAAGGAGCAGAATAATCTTACGAAAAAATATTTATAGACGATACTGTCTCAAGACACTGAAAAAAAACTAAGAGGGGCCAACGCCACATTATTGCGGGCAGCTTCTCTTCGCCACGCTAAAGCACAGGAGAATACATTTTTATTGGGTTCCACCCCCCTCCTCCTCCTCCTCCACCGCAAGAACCGATGAGCCCCGACTGACCCACCGTTCGGTCGTGGGACGCGCTGCAAATGAGTTCGTGACCGACGGCGACGGCCCAGATCGGTCCCTCGTGACCGCACAGCGTCCTGGCACAGTCGCCCGTGCGCAGATTCCAAATCTGTTGACGAAGCGAGACACGAGACACGGCAAAGGGAGAGAAAAATTGAGCGTTAGAAAGAGAGACGGAAAAAAAACGAACCACCGGCAAACGGCAAGCGCACGCTTCGTGCGGTCACCCCGAGCGAGCGAGGGGGGTTATTTTCTGAGAGATTTGCCCACGTTCTTCCGCCGTGTTCTCCAGATTATGGGACACCGTGGTGGCGAGATATTAACAAACTCACCGGGTATGCAGGATCCTGACGCCTGCATATTTGGGATTTGCACGTTCTCCCCGTGGTGGCGTGGATTTTTTTTTATCTCTCTCTGCGTTTAGAAGCATGCGCTTAGAGTATTTGGCTGCAAGAACTTTCCACGTGATAATCCGTGATGGTGAGCTATAATTTGTGGCTGGCTCAGTGAGTCCTTACCTGGTAATGCAATAATAATTATCATAATCAAAAGCTCTCCCCCTGTCATTTGTGAAGTAAAAGTTTGGGGCTGCGTGTTATGAGTGCGGAGAATAACGCTCGTTTGTCTGCCGGCAGGTGCGTTTCAATCTAGTTGCTCAGAATCATATTTTGCAGAAGACGGTGTACATAACCAGACAGAGGCGAGAAGTTCAGAATCATACTCGGGAAGACGGCTCTCCGAAGCAGACTATTGTTCTGATTATATCACTCACTTTTTTGTTGTTGAAAAATTTGCCCAAAGTTTGGAATGTGTCTTACTCTCCGGAGTGTGTTATTAGCTGGAGAATGCGGTAACTTTAAAACAAAAAATCCATGACCCGCATTTAAAATGGGCAATTATTGCAATAAATTTGGCAACAATTCAAGCTCGGAGAATTCCAGTCTCGGTTTGGCTGTCGTGCGGCGAGTCTCGATCTCACATGCAGAGCGAGTGGACAAGTGCCGCCACCTGACAGGTCACTTGAAGGGGTCTCAGACGTAGTTCTGTGCGATCCGCTGCCGCGGGCCGTTCTTTAACACGGGCGGGGTGGGGAGATGGTTGCATATGACGCGACGCGCAATCGAGATAACATTTTTGGGTGAAAGACAAAAAATAAATCCCACGTGACCGTAGAGTTCACACACTCAGCTGACTCTCACCCTTACAGCAACCGTGCGCTGACACATCATTATTCTAACATTTTATACACACAATAAAACAACCCTCTCTACTTCCGCAAGCCCGAGACGATAAATGCGAACGATACTCAACCTGCAGAATTAACCACGAACGGAGGGTTATTTAACCCCCTCCGTGGAACGGCCGCGACCTTTAACGCCGACCGGTTAATCCGCAGTCCGCGGAACGGCGCCACTTGAACGGATTGATGGGCGACCGCGTAACGCGCCGTGGCCCGGCTGAATCACTGTCCGCGCGCGGCGACACCTTATCCTCACGGAAGAGGAGCTCATTTTGCCGTAATTAGCTATGGATTTTCTCGGCTCCTACCACCACCCTCCTCCCGTTCCCCCCTGATCGTAACGGAGCCGCTGCTTAATTAGTCCGCTCGCAGCGGAGAGAAAAGAGAGACAGCGCGCGACCGGCGCCGCGATGGTGGTGGTGGTGGTGGCAACCACGCTTCGTGACACATGTGCTTATCGTTTGAACTTCTTTCGCACCGTATGTAGGCAGCCGCGCTGATGGTGAGATGCAGGCGTGATGGGAGCCGAGTCGAGGACGACGTCAGTGCGTATTGTTTTAATGCTCAACAAACTAAACGCACAAAAAGCAGTTTGAAAGAAACGAGTTTCCGATCGAGATCATTTAAAACCGGCCGGAACCTCGGAACCGTTGGGCGCTTGAACTACGGCCGAGGTTGGCGCGTTGAGCGTGGGGGGGGGGGGCAGGGAGTGGGGGGGGGCGAGGGGACTGGGGCAGCTCTGAGCAATTGCGTCTCGGGCTGAGCTGGTGCGAGACGGTTACGACCCCGAACCCGATAGGTAAATCGTTTCCCATCCGAGGCCGAAGAGCCGCCGGGTCGCGAGGTCACCCGAGGCACGGAGAGGTTCAGCCCGGAGGAGATGTCGTCAAGCCCTGTGCGCCTCGTGTGACAGCGGGCTGTGAAAGGGACTTTCTCATCTCGCAGAACTTTGCCACGATACTCACTTCAAGTGGCCTTTGCAAGTTTGCCAAATATAAAGATCCCCCTCCGTATAGCCTGTGACAAGACTGTTGGGGCCAGTGCTGTTAGCGAGCACCTATGAAGGCTGGCACGGCACACGACGGGGTGGGTGGCCATCACCACGCCGGGCCTCCTTTGTCTCTCCAGTGGCGATGTTTACACACCGGTCCAAGGTGCTCATTTGAGGCCGAGTCGACCTAGGGGATGCCCAGGACCGGTTTAAATAACAGTCACTGGTGTTGATCGTGAACGAGATTCGAGCTCTGGTCGCCAGGTTCGTAGCGCAGCGTTCTAACCGCTACACCACCACTCCCACACGCGCACACACACAGGTACACACACACACGTACACACACATACATACACAGGTACACACACACGTACATACACACATACACACATGTACACACACAGGTACACACACACACGTACACACACATACACACACGTACACACACACAGATACACACACACGTACACACACACATACACACACGTACAACAACAACCGCCATTCGCCACTAAGTGGCGGTGACGTCACCACGATGCTTGTGCCAGGCCAAGTGCACCTTGAGGCCACGTGAAGTGTCGAACGCCCGCTGGCAGGAGGTCACGGGGCAGACCCAGGTGCCAAGGGTCGACTGACCGAGATGACCGAGATGACTGGCTGATGCACCACCTGTGCCCCCTACTGTACCAACTTGCTGTGCTTTAGCCACCCGGCGCTCCGCTCGTTGTTGTGAGCGTCGCTCCTCCGCCCTCCGTTGTTGTTGGAGGGCGACTGCCTCCAACTGCCCAGTAGCGTCCTTCACGAGCCTCCTCCACTGAGGCCGATCTTGACACCGCTGGTACCAGTCATCGGCAAGTCCACTCAGCTCCACGTCCTCCTGTACTACATCACTCCATCTCTTCTCCAGCCCGTGCCGCGCCCGTCTAGCCCCCTCGATCCGGCCGAACAAAAGCTGTTTAGGCATGCGGTGGCTGGGCATGCGGGCTACATGACCCAGCCAACGCAGCCTTGCCTGCCGGAGGAGCTCACTGATGGGACTTTGCCCAGATCTTTCAAGGATTTGTGAGCTCCTCACACAATCCAGCCTGGTTAAACCCAAGATGGATCGTAGGCAGGCCAGCCTAAATGTTTCCAACCGGCGAAGATGCTCCACCAGGGGGGTCCACGTTTCGCAAGCGTAGAGAAGGGAGGGAATGACCGTGGCCGAGAAGACCTGAAGCTTCGTGCGGAGCGACAGACCAGGTAGCTTCCACACAGCGTTACGCAACCGATGAAAAGATATTGCCGCTCGACTGATTCGGAGTGAGACCTCTGCTGATAAACTGGAGCCGGTCATAAGCACACTGCCCAGGTATGGGAAACTCTCCACTCTCTCCACAACTGCCCCATCACCAATTGGGAGTTGTGGGGGTGGAGTGTCCGATGGTACAAAATACCCAGGCAGGTGCTTAGTTTTGGTGGGGCTGATGGTAAGGCCCCACCTCTTAGTGGCACGCTCCAGTCTCAGCAGCAGCGTCTCCAACTCCTCTTCTGAATGAGCAGCTATTACCAAATCATCGGCATACATAACGTGGTTGACCAATAGGGAGCCATCCCTTGATCGCACCCGGGCATCGATCAGCCTCCCATTATATCTGTACCAAATGGAAATTCCCCCGGTACAGCTATTGAAGGCTTCACGAACTACGCGGTCAAAATAGATGTTAAATAATGTGGGAGCCAGAGGACATCCCTGTCGCACCCCAAGGTGTACAGGGAAAGGCTCCGACTCCCGGCCACGTAGTTTTACCCGGGCCCGCTCACCATCATGAAGGTCTTTAATGATCGTGAGCAGAAGGTCAGGGACTCCGAAAGCACGAAGAACAACCCAGAGCCCAGTCCTACTGATGGTATCATAGGCCTTGACCAGGTCAATAAAGCAGAGATGTAGGTCTTTTTGGAATTCCCTACACCTCTGCTGTAGCAGACGGACAGAAAATATGGCATCTGTGCAGGACCGCCCTTTCCTGAAACCGCATTGGGGCTCCGCAAGCCTCTCCTCAGCGTGCCTAGCAAGGCGATGTTGAATAATCCTTGCCAGGACCTTACCCGGCACACTGAGGAGTGAGATGCCCCTGTAGTTGTTACAGTCGGTACGGTCCCCCTTCTTAAAGAGGGGAACCACCAGGGCATCCTTCCAGTCCTGCGGAACCCGTCCAGTGGTCCAGACTGTTGTTATGATGTCATATAGGGCAGTCTGTGCACAAACGCCACCCTCCCTCAGCATTTCGCTTGGGAGATCATCTCTGCCCGATGCCTTCCCTGGTCTCAGACTCCGGATCGCCCTCAGTACTTCCTCAACAGCTGGCACCTCAGCCAGCCACTCACAGGGGGTGACCTCTTCCAATATTTGAGGCACCGCAGCCTCAGCAGGGTTATCACCACTTTGTGCCATGATGTTTTCCTGGCTGAGAGAATTTCCCTCCCCCAGGACCTTACAGAAATGCTCAGCAAATCTGCAAACCTGTTCCTGGGGGTCGGAGATTGGATCACCGTTTTTTCCTCTAATGATGGTAATAGGTGTGGCGCTGCAGGTTACTTTTTTGATGGAGTTAAATAATGATTTGTGATCACGGGCCACTGAGGCAGACTCCATCTCCTCAGCAACCCGCGACCACCACCCATCCATACAGCGCCTTATGGCTCTCCGAACTTCCGAGCGAAGGCTGCGGTAAACCTCCTCATTCTCTGACGTGGGATGCTGTAGGCGATGAGAGTGGGCCTGACGCTTTTTCTCAATTAACCTGAACACCTCCTCTGTCAGCCAGGGTTTCTGGGGAGGTCTGGACCGCGTACCCAAAGCAGCCATTGCAGCTGCATGAGTCACAGTCTTAAACCT